ACTTTTTTGGGGGATGGGGGTGTTACCACAGTCCACTACAAGACAAGTGTCATCTGCAAAGGTAGATATCTGCTATAATTTGGACCATAAGTTTACTCCAAAGCCCTTGTGTTAAATGCTTGGTCCCTAGCATTGCACTCTTGGACAATGGTAGAAYTTTTGAGAAGGGGGTCCAGTGGGAAGTCCTTAAGTCATTAGGGGTGTSCCCTCAAAAGGATTGTGGGACTTGGCCCCTTCCTCCCCTTCCTCTTCCTCTCTTAGCTTCTTAAATACCAAGTAAGTTTTGTTCTGCCATGTGCTATGTGGAATCCCCAACCAGAGACCTAAAAAAAGGGCTCCTGCGGTCAGGGACTAGAACCTATAAATCTGTGGGCTAAAATAAATTTTTTACCTTTATAAGCTAACAAATATCTCAGGCATTTGTTATAAGAATGGAAAGCTGACTCACAATGTCCATCCATTTCTACCTGTTTCCAAAGCCTGTCTGTGATGATTTGTCCAAAGCCCCAACTCAATCCATTATATTACCACTATGGTTATATCAAAGCTAACAGACATCATGGATCCTGAAATATCAATTATATTTCTGCTATTATTCAAACAATTGAAGTTAACAAAAGTAATATTATAAAGCATGATAAAACTAATTAGGCTTTTATCTTCAGGATTTGGTTTTTACTTTCTGATATTTAAATCTATGTCATCATGCTTCTTCTAGGGTCTGTTCAAAATCCTGAATTGAATACTATTCAATGTTGAAAAACCACTTGTAGGGGCTGGGGATGTGGCTCAAGTGGTAGCGCGCTCGCCTGGCAGGCTTGCGGCCCGGGTTCGATCCTCAGCACCACATACAAACAAAGATGTTGTGTCCACCGAAAACTAAAAAAATAAATATTAAAATAAAATTCTCTCTCTCTCTTAAAAAGAAAAAGAAAAGAAAAACCACTTGTAATATATTTCCTGGAGCTTCATTAGTGAATGCAGTCCTTTAAACTTAAAAGAAAAAGGTTATTTTTTCAAATGTACAAATGTCAACTTTATTCATTGAATTTTTTTGAGGGGGAGGTACTAGGAATTGAACTCAGAAGCACTCAACTACTAAGCTACACTCCCAGCCCTATTTTGTATTTTATTTAGAGACAGAGTCTCACCAAGTTGCTTAGAGCCTTACTGTTGCCGAGGCTGGCTTTGAACTTGAGATACTGCTGCCTCAACCTCCCAAGGCATTACAGACGTGTGTGCCACTGCACCCTTATTCGTTGAATTTTAAGAAAGCATTTCAGAACTATAAAGATTAAGTACATCACTAGCAAATTTGTTACAAATTTAAATTTCCTACAAAAATTTACCATCTATTTTAAAAGGGGCCAGCATAGTCAGTAATTTGGTTTCATTAAATTTAAATGAAGGGCCTTTATAATGAAGAGCCTTTACAATTGTTTCCCATGGAATGAAATATAAGGCTGTCATAGGAAGCAGAGTGTCCAAAAATCAAGAACCAAATGATTTTATATGGTAGCATAAGAGGAAATAATTTTTATTTTAAAAAATGCTTAAGCACATCAAAATATCTTTCTTGAATTTAATATTATTTTCTTTTAGGATTTCACAGTGACACTTTCTATAGACTCCCTTTAGCCCCTCCTCATTGAAACTAGAAACATCATGCTCCTTATCATGTTAGGAGAAAGGTCCCAACCTCCCACACTGTCATCAGTTTTCACATGCCCTCCAAAAGAGTCTTCAGCTCCTACCAGGGCTCAAAGCCTTAATTTAAGCAAAATATGTCAGCAAACATTAGAATGAAGATTCAGATTAAGTAGGTCTTGGATAGGGTATAAAATTATGCATTTTTTCCCCCAGAGGCATCTTGGCAATATCATTTTATCTATCTATCTATCTATCTATCTATCTATCTATCTATTTATTTATTTATTTATTTAGTCATACATGACAGTAGAATGCATTTTGATATATAATACATACATGGAATGTACATACTTCAATCATAAATTATGCATTTTAATATGATACTGATACTTCTGGTCCAAGAGCATACTTGTAATGGCAAAGATACTATGATTTAGAGGGCTGGTGATAGATATCCAACCCAGCCGAGTCAAGTCCTACCCTTCATTAGCTATGTGGTCTTTCACAGGTCATTCCCCTGAGCTCTAATTTCTTCCCCAGTAAAAGGAGAATATCTACCTCACATTTCTTAAATAGTATAGAGATAATGAAAAATTTATGTGAATTCCTTAGAATTTAGTACTTAACACATTGCAAGTGCTCAATAAAAGATAGCTATTGCTTTGCTGAATATAAATACAAAGTTGGACCAGATGAGTTTGGGTAATATAGTGTTTTTACAACTACCTGGCCACTAAAGTCACCATAACCTACACATGAAGCAATGTCATACTCAGAAATCAAATTAAGTCTGTCATCTCATGTGTTACCAGCTAGCTCATTTTATTGAGAAAGCAGACATATWAAGTCATAATTGGCAGGAATATAACTAAGACTTGAGGTGTATCATCAAAAATCCATCATTTATAGCACTAAGCAGCGCTTCAATGACTAAACTCTGTGTCAAAAGCGTTTACTAAATTAATCTGTATACAGCCAGACCATTGTCACTGGGCTCATTTCTGCCACTTTGAGACACTAGGCCCCCATCAGGAAGGATGACTACATCTACAACMTTCCACTTGGTAAAACTAGAAAGGTGATCACAAGGCTGTAACTGCATCACCAGAAGTCTCCTGGTTTAAAAATAAATACACTGCCTTCGCCACTGCATCCATCTACTAGCAGGGGACCAATACACACTGACAATATTGTGTTTCAGAAGCATTATCCCGGAATAATTACCTGCTCTTTCTCTCTGTGGAATACTGTACCAGCCAAACCTCTTTTAATCTGGTAGGTGGTAGGATTTACTGATTGCCTTTTATTACAGTAAAAAATATCTTCTTCTACCCCTAAAAAATTGGAGATAACTGATAACCCATTGTCACCAGAACTACTGTGTATTTGCAGCCTACAAACAGGGAAGGTCTACCTGCCTTCCAATACCTACCCAAAAGAGGAATCTGGGTGACTCCAACCAGCATTGGGGACAAGAATTTGAAGGTAAAGGAAATCTCTGATGCTGAGCTCTCCTGACTCTCAATAAAATCTCTTTTCACAGAATAAGATGCAGGGGGAATATGAGCAAGGCGAGGACTGGGCGAAGAAAAGCATCAGTGTCCAAGGGATTCTTCTCCCTCCCTCCTCATTTATCCAACCTCACTTTCCTTTGGTCTCAATCCATGACCAGCTCCAGGTAAATCTATATTCTGAGCTCTGTCCCAACTCTCTTCCATGGGCAATAACTTCCTTTCCTGTGAAGTTACAGATTTTTAAAAATGTTTTCAGGTGAACACTGAAAGAGCTTGGAAAATAAAAGAGTTGCAGTTACTGGAGCATAGAATCACAATGTTTATCTAGAGAGGAGTGGTTAGCAAGGAGATGTGACTCAGAATGTGATGGCATTTGCTCTAAAGAGAAGGCTTTTACTTTTGGCCAAACAGAAGAATCCAGCAGAAACATTTGGTTGCAAATGAGATCATGAAAATAKTCTTGTTCAATAAACTATATGTAAGTGAAATTTACTTGTAGTAAAAAGGGGTCAGGGTGGCTAAATCCCCATGGGCCTAGATTCTTCTCACTCTTCAAGCAACCTCTCCAGGATCTCTCCAGGAACCCTGGGTTCAAGGTCACCCTGTGCAGATCACTACAGGGAACTGTGTACATTGCTATTTCAAATGGATGGCGGGAGGCTTTTAGCCTGTATAATGAAATGCTTACAGAATTTTTTGCTTTAGTTGTTTTATGCAATAGGAGATTTAAAAATAAGATTTGAAATAGGCCCAGAAAGCTGAACTGATTATCTCACTCAATGTGAAGGAGAAAGTTTCTGTGTTACTTGTCCATGTTTAAACCATGCATCTCCTTTTAAATCCATGTGAATGAAAGCTAAGTGTGATCAGAAGTGATTCCTTTACATCTTTGGAACTACAGTGACCCATGGATGAGCTCAGTCTCTGTTCGCAGGTGAAAGCAGGAGACCYGGGTTTCATAATTTTATAGAATCTTCTGTCAGGAATCTGTATGGGAACCATACATGAAAGAGTAACGATATTCATATASGTTTTATAAAAATAATGGAATCATATTTTTCTACATAGAATTAGAAATAAAAGAGAACTATACATCAGGTAGTGAGGCAAGGTGATAAACTAATATCAATATACAAAAATATGAGACTTGATTTCATTTCACATTCTATTTTTACTTTTTAGAAAAACACTATACCCTAGAATAATTTAACAGGTAACCTCTGAAAATTTCTTACAAGGAGGCGATCATATACTTAATATTAGCTCATTCATCAATTTAGTTTGATCACAGGATCAAACTGAATTAATAAACAATAGACTGAATTATCACATTAATTTTTAATTTTTTAAAAACTTGTGGGTGGTGAATTATTTTAATAGGAAAGATAAAAGCATCCAATTTAAATGGAGATGTTATATCCATTTTAATAATGTTAGCATTAACAACCGTCAGTGATTTATGAAATTTACACATTATTAATAAATTAAAATTTTGTTCATCTCTTTGCAAAATGTAAATACAATCTATTCTCAATTGGAGAAGAGAAACATAAATAATAAAAAAAATGTCTATATCATCTGTAATTGACTTTGGCATTAGAGCACAAGTTCCGGAAAACACACACACACACACACACATACACACACACACACACAAATTTTCTTTCTCCCTTCCATTCACAGTTACAGAGCCTAGATCTAGATCTAAGGATGAAGCCCTGTGTTAAATGAACTGTAGATTTTTTCACGAATAGATCTCCAACTACATGAAAACCCATAACATGATCAGTTCTTGGCATACTTGATCATTTATTTAAAAGGACACCCAGGTTGTGGTTGCTTCCGCAGCACACACACTAAAAYTGGAACAATACAGAGAAGATTAGCATGGCCCCTGCACAAGGAGGACACAGAAATTCKTGAAACATTCCATATTTTTCAACAAGATTCTCAAAATAAAATAAAAAAAGAGGAAAGCAGAAATTAAGAGTTCCAAGCTACCTTTTCAAGATATAGTTATGATTTTGCTATCCAATAAATATCACTGGGAAATGAAACAAACAAACAAACAAAAAAGGACACCCAGGTTGTCATTTACTTAATACCAATTGCCAAGCAACTGCCACATTCTAAACTCTCAAAATACAAAGTGAAATAAAATAAAATCACTACTCATGGAGATAATGGTAAGAGAGCTCAACATAAGCAAATAATTATAGAAATGTGATATGTGTGTAAAAGTGTGCAGAGATTCCGTTGCAGTGTGGAAGAGAATGTGACCATACCTACATGTGAGGTTTGACAGTGGACATGCTGGGCAGAGAGAAGGGCACACTCAGGACCTGGACTGGAGTGGCACTGATGGAAACAGCAATRATGGGATTTATATAGACAGACAAACAGACAGATGTTGTTATTAGCTAACTTGGATGGTCATGAAGCCACCACGAGGCTGGAGAGAGTATTAAATGGGACTTATCAAGCACCTAGCACAGAGCCTAGCACTGAGTAAGTACTCATTAAATGTCGCCTACTATACTTTTTTAAAATCTTCAATTTAGTATTAACAGCAGTGCATAAGACAGGAATTTAATCATACGGACAGATGTTTGTACATGGTGGATAACACACAGGCCTCCAGCACATACATGGACAATGTGCAGGCAAAGGAAACCTTAAGAAGTAGAAGACACACTCTCTGGCTGCTTGATTACACACCATTGCAGCAGAAGCACTGAAACATTTCTTCCTGTTTCTTCTTCTGACTCTGCTCCCCAGCAGGCTCGGCCCTGAATGTGAGGGTGCACATCCTCACTAGGTTTGTGCCGCCCCTGGCTTATGTCCTTGTCTGATCCAGGCTTTGGGGATAATCCACCAAACTTTTCCACTTCCTTACTTCAATTATCCCTTCAAAGCCTTCATTTGTCATTGCCGACACACTTATTCCCTTTTGACTCAGATAAAGGTCTACCTTTTCCCAAGAGGAGTCTTACAGAGTAAAAATTTTTGGAAAAAAAACTTTCTTTTTGCATTATCTTCATTTCAATGCATTAAGACTAGAATTCTCCTGCTTCCGATGTCTTGTGAAGAGGTGGACAAGAGTATCTTAAAAGGTAGAATAAAGACACTAAAGTGTGGGAACTCTTTTCAGTAAGTATGCAAAGCTCATTTCAGGCTTAGCATCCATCTGGGGTGGATCAGCTTCCTTATCCCTTTTTTAAGTAAGGAAAAGATAGTCTGGAGGGCTCTAACTCTGAACTTTTATAACCAAAAATCTAGCTTTTCGTGGACTGTGAAACTAAGCATGAGGTCATGATTTCATTCTGCTGAAATGTCTTCAAGGAGTTCATGTGAGAAGGGAAATTCTGTATAACAAATAAACAAAGATAGAAACACTGAGGCCCCAGGCTACCCACGTCCCAATTTTAACAAAAAATGTATCTGGAAACTGATAACGCAACATAAATCTCACTCCACACACACTCAAGGAGGGGGCAGAATGCTGCCTTGGTGGAGGCACCCACCTGTACAAAGCTATGCATCTAGAGATGCTTCCCTGTTGAGAGCTCAGAAAACCGCGTATGATACTCACATCACCAGGGTGCCTGGATGCAAAGGTCAACAGTCCTTCAAGGGACTGTCATAAACAGGTACAGATAGGCTTCACCTTCTATAGCAAAATAGAAAAGGTCTGAGCCACTTCTCCTGTTCCACCTCATGAAGGATTTGCTCATCATTCCATTGAAGGTCAACAGCAGGATGTAGAAATTCACTGTTCTCTACTTTGGGTACACACCAGGTGCAGTTCTTCATTACCAGTCACTAAAGACACAGAGGCACATAAACCATGGAGCTAAGAGCAATTGACCTTCAGATTTCTTCACTTGTGGGGGTCACTTCCACAGCTCTGGGGAAGACCCTAGAGTAGGTGACATATATTTTGAAATGTAAGAATATTTTACCAAATTGATCCAGTCTGTGCTCTCTTTCTATTCCAACTTCTACCTTGGGCTCATACCAAATGGCATTGGAATGGCTCCAAGTACTTTTGAAAAAAAAGGGAAGTTGAATAGAAGATATATCTGTTTTGATATTAGGAGAGCTTCTAGTCTCTTCCATGTCTTCTCAGGCCATAGGAAAGGCTCTGGGAACATTCCTCTGGTCCTTTTGGGTAATGACAACACAAGACCAAAGATCAAGTCATGAAACTCTATGCACTCTACCATTCCCAACACACATCTGAGGAGGTGAGAAGAAATAAGTTTGAAGTATATAGAGCTAAAGACAACAAATCCATAAAATTATAACTATATCATATTCTGGATCTTCTGATGCTCATGGTATTTGCTTTTAAAACATGCAATTTGTACTGATTGATTTTTCAACCTAAATTAGTATTCACATTACCTAATTTTTTATACCTTCATTTATTCATTTATCTTTATGTGGTACTGAGGATTAAACCCAGAGCCTCACATGTGCTAGGTGAGTACTCGACCACTGAGCCACAACCGCAGCCCCACACATTACCTAATACTGTACTTATATTTTTAATTCATTTTATGAAAAAGAATCCCCAAAATGTAGGCCCTACAACATATGAATCTACATATCTATTTTAGATAAAGATGTTCACCCATATATGTGCAATATAGAATTACATTGTAGAAACATGAAAAAAATTCAGGCAATAAAGTTTAAATCTTATAATTATGGGAGTTCAAAACCCAATAGAGTCAAATGTATGAAAGATGATTTATCAAGAGCTCTGTAATATTTGGAACAATCAATAAAAAAAATCTTATAATTATGTTCATGAGCCATTTAAATAGAATAATGGATTAAATGATGGAATAATGAGGCATATTATGCTTGGTCAAAATATCTTAATATAGTATGAACTAGTTAAATACAATGTATCAAGACTACATTACAATATGGAATAAATTATAAGATCTTAAATAAGTGCAAAAAAGAAGGTGTAAAGTTGTGTTTAAAAACAAATTTCCACCAGACGGGGGGCACATGCCTGTAATCCCAGTGGCTCAGGAGGCTGAGTTGGGTGGATCAGAAGTTGAAAGCCAGCCTCTGCAACTTACTGAGGCCCTAAGCAACTTAGCAAGACCCTGTCAAAACAAAAACAAAAACATAAACAAAACCCAAACAACAACAACAAAAAACAGATTGGGGATGTGACTCAGTGTTTAAGCACTCCTGGGTTCAATTCCTGGTACGAAAAATAAAGAATACGTTCCACTAATTTTAAAAATGTAAGAAACAAATTTGCCTGTGTTAATCTCTTTGTTTATGTCTGTATTTGAAATACTACCAGTAAAATAAATAATCTTTTTAACATTATCTTTTTCAGACTGTGTGTAAGAAGCCTTTTGAAAAACACAAGGAGTACATGAGTCACTCAGAAACAGATTCTGATGTATTTTCTGGTGATGATGATGAAGACTAATTCCTAAGATTACTGTATTAGTTTCCTACTGCTGCTATAACAAATTACTACAATTGTGCAGCTAAACCCACACAAATTTATTAGCTTACAGATCATAAACTGGTCTCCTTGGGCTCTAACATCAAGGTGCCCGCAGACTGTGCTCCTTTTGGAAGCTCTGGAAGTTTATCTTTTTGTGGCTTTTTCAAGGTTCTAGAAGCTGCTGGCCTTACTTGGATATCGGCTTCCTTCTCCATCTTCAAAGTCAGCAATGGCAGGCTGAGGCTCTCATGAGGAGTCACTCTGATTATTATTTTTCTGTCTTTTTTTATGTACAAGTACTCTTGTGATTACATTGGGTTCGCCCAAATAATCCAGTATAACCTAATTAACAATCAGTTCCTCTTTGCATGCAATCTAATGTATTCACAGGTTCTGGGGATTCAGACATGCATGTCTTTAGGGGTACCTCATTCTGTCTACCACAATCGCTAAGAATTGCTTAGTCTTGAGATTCTGACCTTTGATTATAAATCTAAAAATAAGTAATATATCATCTGTCCTACACCAAGAAGACTACATGTAATCAAAGATCCTCAAGATCAATACCAACCTAAATACAGTGTTTCTCAGTAAAAACTGTCTGCTCTTTGAAGACTTACAATTTCACATCTCACCCCTCTGGCTTTGACCCCAAGGGACTAAGCGTAGTACTCCATCATTCCCCTGTTGGGCACAGATACTGGTTCAAAGGTGATCACTTGGCTCAAGCTATGTCAGGCAGAGTTTTCTTTAAGCTTCCAGGGAAGAGCCTGGGCCAGGAAACAGTGAAAATGCAAACTTATAGGATGTTAAGTTTCATGTCCTCCTGAAAATACACCCATCTGCAGAAGGCACAGTAAATATTAAAAGGTAGATGGAAGAAGAAATGTGTGTGCTGGGCACTACTGTGTGCATGTGTATGCATGTGTGTGTGTGTGTGTGTGTGTGTGTATGACAAAGAGAAGGAATAGGTTGTTTAAATCCCTTTACCTTTCATTACAAAAGTCACTTTTACCCCGTCCTTCTTGCTTTGTGAGCACATAAATTATTTGCTTGTTTCTGGATGTTTGAATTGGGATCTTGCCATTTCCATCCAAAAAGACTCTTAACCAAAATAGATGCTGCTGAATTTTGTTATATGCTCAGTGCTGTAATTAATGACAAATGAATTAAGAACATAATTAAGAAAGCAGAGTCCCATCAGGTCACAGGAACAGAACAACTGGGCTTGCTGGTAAGTGTGATCTGGTCCCAATGATGACTTATTACCTGCAGTAGGGTCCTATAGGAGACATCAACAATGTTCTCTTGAACACTTTCCAAATTCATTGCCTATATAGGACAAGTAATAGCAAATATTCTCACGAAATGTCATTCCCCTCACCATAGCCAGTTTGTAGCATAGAAACAAAGTCCTTCAAKTCAAGCAGAGGTTATAAGCTGCACATACAGAG